TTGTGAATTTTCCAGTTATCTTTTGGTGTTAATGTCTATTTTCATTTTGGTCAAAGAAGACACTTTATATGATATCAGTATTTTAAAATTTATCGAGAAACATTTTTTGGTCTATCTTGCAAAATGTTTCATGTACATCTAAGATAAATGTGCATTATTTTGTGTTTGAATAGTGTTCCATATGTCTGTAAGGTTTAGTGAGTTTATAGTGTGTTCAAGCCCTGTATTTCCTTAGTAATTATTTGTGTACTAGTGAAAGTAGGATATCAAAATGTCTGATTTTTATAGAACTGTTAAGTTTTTCTTTTAATTCTGTTTTAGTTTAATATATTCTGAGGCTATGTTGTTAGGTGTGTATATATTTATAGATGTTGTAACTTTACTATGATTTGACTCTTAATAACATTTTCTGCTTTGTCTCAACAGTGTTTTATCTTGCATTCTAATTTGTCTGGTGCTAGTATAGCCATCCCAGCTATCTTTTAATTACTGCTTGCTTGGATTATCTTTCTGTCCTTTCACTTTCAACCTTTTTGTGTTTTGGTCATAAAAGTGAACCTTTTATAGGTAGCATATGGTTATATCATGCTCTTTTAATCTATTCTACCAATCTCTGTGTTTTAAGTGAACAGTTTAATCTACTTACATTTCAATTACTTATAAGGAAGAATTAATGCAATTTTGTTTTTATTTTCTGTATATTTTACAACATTTTGTTCTTTAATTTCTCTATTACTTTTATCATTTGTAAGAATTTGTTTTCTCTACTGTTTTGATTCTTATTTCTCTTTCTTTTTGATATTTTTCCCCTTTAGTTGTTTCCCTGGGGTTTATATGAAGTCAACTGAACTCTAACAATCTAGTTTGGATCAATGCCATCTTAGTTGGAAAAACACAAAAAATACTGCTCCCATACAGCTTCATATCCTTTATGTTATTTTCACTAATGGCGTCTCTATATAGCATACGTTCATTTGTGCATTTGCTTCTTAAATTGTATAGGATAAAAGAGTTATGCATTAAAGAACAGAATAGTATAGGCTTTAACATTTACTTACATTGGTCTTTTTTGTATGTATGGCTTTGTGTTAGTCACTATTCATTTCAGTCTATCAGCTCCCTATAGCATTTCTTGTAAGAAAATTCCAATGGTTATAAACTCCCTCAGCTCTCGCTCACTCTCCCCTTCCTTCCCTCGCTCCCTCCCTTCCTTCCTTCCAATCTGGGAATGTCTTAATTTCTGCTTCATTTTATTTGTGTTCATGTGTGTGTGTATGTTGCTCAGTCTGGTCTCAAACTTGTGGGCTTAAGTAACTCTTTTGCTTCAGTCTCCGGAGTACCTGGGATTACAGGCATGTGCCATTGAGCCTGGTTGTGTTTCATTTTTGAAAGATAGTTTTGTCAAATAAATAATTCTTGTTTGATGCCTTGCCCCTTTGCTAGCATGCTAAAAATTCGGTCTCATTGCCTGTTGGCCTCCATGGTTACTGGATGAGAAATCTGCTATTAATCTCATTAAGGATACCTTTTATATCACTTCTTTCTTGCTAATTTCAAGATTCTCTCTGTCTTATGTCTTAGGCTCTGGACAGTTTAATTGCAATATGGATCTCAGTGTGGATCTTGTTGCCTTTGCCCTCCTCAGACAGAATAAGCTGAGTTTATTGAGTTTGGGGCTATTCTTCAAATATTCTTTCTCTTTTCCCTCTAGAACTTTCATCATATTTATTATGGTATACTTAGTATTCTGTATATCTTTGTCGTCTCTTCATTCTTTTTTTTTTCTGCTCCCTTAGGTAGGACAATCTTTTTGCCTGTCTTCAAATTCCCTGATTATTCTTCTTTCTTCAAATTTGCCAGTGAACCCTCTAGTAAACTTTAGCTCTTAAGTTTACATTACACTTGGCTCATTTTTGTAATTTCTGTTAATGCCTTATTTGTTACATTGACATTACCTGCTCTTGATTTCCTTTAGAGTTCTGCCCATGGTTTCATTTAGCTCTTTGAATATGTTTAAGACAATTGATTTAACATGTTTGTCTCATTAGATCAATGTCTGGACACACTCTATATGGACTATACTTTCTTATTTTTTTGCAACTGGATATGACAACTGTATATGACTGGATATGAATATTAAAATGTGGCAACCCTGGAAATGATAAGCTTCCCTCCAACAAGATTTGTTGTTGCTATTTGTTGTGGGTTGATTTTTCTAAACTTCATTTTGAAGTCTGCATTTTTTTGTCTTGATGTAGTCTCCGAGTTCTGCAGTCCCTTATAATTATGGTCAGCTGGTGCTTTGACAGAATTTTCTTAAAGACTTGAATCTAATAAAATTTTTAAAAATTAAAAAAATACGGAGATAAGAAAATAAAAAAGCTGGTAAAAACAATTGAAACGACCAACTGTGGCAGAAAAAAAGTTGAGCAAAGAAAAGTTTTATGGAATTATAGATTTTAGTAGTTGCTTTTTCCCATTGCTTTGGGTGGGTTTTTTTTGTGTGTGTGTGTACTAATATTTACTTTAACAACCTTAAAGAAACCTGTAACTTCCAGTATTTCTTTAAAAGGATGAATGTTTAAATTTTCCTGAATGTATCACTGTTAAAAAAAATAAATGTCAAATAATTGTAAATAAAGTTGATCTAAATACACCTTGTTTTTTGCTTCAGTGATTGCCATGTCAATCAGCAGGTTTGCTGCTGTGCCCGTGTTCTCAGTGTCGACAGTGAAGTACAGAGCAGTGCTGCTCCTGGCGTCCATCACATTTGGATCTGCACCAGATTTTAGCAAAATCAGCACATTCTTCCTCCTGGAACTGTGCAGTGTATCAGGACTTAATCAGAACTGTGCTGTTGTCACTGTCACAGAAGTTAATGTGGTATTTCTTCTGTATCAGGAGTGTCACCACTTCTGATGGCCACAGGCATAGGGGTAATGCAGAGTAGTCCTATTGGAAGGACTGGCAGTGGGGATGAGGCTATTGTGCTGGGGTTGCAAGCCAGGACGTCACTCATGCTAGGCAAACATGGTACCCTCGAGGTACATCCCCTGACCAGAGCAGCAGTTCATGATGTTCCACAGTGGTAATTGGCAGCATTGATGAGATATTCTTCATACTCATAGAATCATCTCACAATTCATAGTGCGTAGAACTTCAGTAATTAGATGAAGACTTGGGCCACCAAGTGGAAAAGCTCCTCTGCCTCTAGATTGGGTTCCTTCAGCCACTTGATCCTGGATCCAACAATACATAGAGTGGCTTCTCAGTTACTCTTTAAGTTAATTAAAAAAAAAAGTCATCCTCCCTCCCACAGTTAAATCTGCTGACTCCAGAACTCGGGATGGCTCAAGTACAGCAGTGACTGTAAAAAATATGTAAATGAGTGTCCAACTGCCAACTTTCACAGGCAAAAAGCAGAATACTTCAAAGTAGGATTTCTGATTTTAAATTTTAGGTGCCTCGTGAAAACTAACCTATCGATACATATTTGATTTCGCTAAAACCTGCTTTGGGTATTTTCTACAAAGATTCTGGTTATCTGTATGTTGGATCCTGACAAAGACCTAATCAATCTCTGATTTCTCTTCAGTTCTTTTTCTCTTTCTTCATTAGAGGTATTAACCCATTTCTGTTTCTTTTACAAAACTTCTGAGCTGAGAAGTATATGAGGAAGAGAGGTTTATTTAGCTTAGTGTTCAGGAGATGCAAGATCACGGCACTGACATCAGTTTGACTCTGGTTAGGACCTATTGGAGGATGGCAGGAGTATATGCAGGAACACACAAGAGAGGGAGAGATCTTTTGGTGAGATAGGAAACCAGAGGGTGGGGAGGGGGAGTCTCTTTTGTAACCTTTCACTCTCATGGAACTAACCAGGGTCCTATGAGAAGTGCTTAAACCCTTCTAAAGGTAGCACCTCCAATGACCTTCCATTAGGACCCTCCTTTAAAGTTTATACTACTACTTTCATCACACTGAAGACCAAGATTTTACAATATGAAACCTTGGAGGGCAGCCCACATCTAAATAATAGCAGGGTGAATAATGGAACTTTAAAATTTCCTCCTTTTCACCCTGTATATTTCTCTTAAGACATTATCTGTGGTGTGTGCTCTTAAAATTTAGTCCTTTTTTTCTCAAGTGAATTTTAATTTTTTTCTTTTTTTCATCAACTTTGTCACTACATTTCTAAGTTTTTATAACTTTGAATATTTTGGCTTTTTTTTTTATTAATAGGTTAGTAAGTTAACATATTATCTGTTTTGTGTGCTTTCTTTGTGTGTTAGGATGTTATTCTGCTCCTTATTTTTTTCCCTCCTAATAACAACTATGGGATTTGATTTTGATACTTATCTATTGTTTATTTTTAAGTAATTTTTTTTTTGGAAAATTTAGGAATCAGATTTAGGATATCTTTTCTACTTTGTGTTGCTTTCTTATATCTTGCAAAAATATGGCCACTTTTTTACTTGTTACATTGATGCTACTGGCTCTTTTTACTTGTTACATAGATGCACTGCTTTACCTGGACCTTTTTATAGTCTCTCTTATTCCTGTGTAGCTGAGTGGATTCTACTCCTAATTTCTCTTCATCTTTCCCCTTACTTAGCAAGGAGATATGGCTCATTCAAGTAGTCCCAGGCTGCTCTGCTTCCTAGTGAACAATGAAATAGGCCAGGTCTACTTCATGGTGAACTGTGGATGTCTAGGTTCCCAGGGCCTACTTTGATCCCTGATGTTATTTGGGACTTTGGAGGGGTGATAGTTTGTCCTCACCCACTTGTATTTTGGACTTTGTTGACTGCTGGTAAATGTTGTCTGTTCATTTTGGATTTGCTATCTATTTGTACTATCTTTATGTGAAGATTCAGAGACATTAAAAAACTATGCCTTTATTACTGTCATTCTTGGGTTTCTAAATTGCTAGTTGACAACTTAATAATGTATGTTTAATGAAGTTGAAATATTTTTTCTTTTAAAAATCATCTCCACAGAGGAAAAGGAATTGGTGTATAGAGTATCCATCCTTTCCAGAAGAGAAGCCACTACAGTGCAGAACAGGTCTCAGGACAGTGGGAGCAGTTGCCTCCCTCTCTGAAGCATGGCTTAAGTGTGGAGAAGGATTTCAGGACACTCCTAGGACTCGGGTAAAGTAGCTGTAAAATTGTTTTCCCTAATGCAGAAGGGTAAATGATAAGATTCCTTAGTGTTCATGCTGCTGTGATTACATTTCTTTGGAATTCCCTTTCTTATTTTCTTTTCCATATATTATAATTGATGCAGTATTTTTTCCCCCCATTCCTTGAATTCCTTTAATAATTGTGGCATATTAGTATCACCTTGTTAGGCTATGCAGAACCTTTGTACTTGTTTGTAAATGGAGGATACATACTGAGAAAGTATTCAGAAGTGAAACCATTGAACATACTACTTTACATGAAGTATATTTATGAAATGTTCATATATTCAGAACCTTTTGTCTATGAGATTCTGGTTAATTTTTGTACAAGTTATAACTTACAAAATAGAGGAATGGTATCATAAACTCTAAAGATAATGTAGAGACAAACAGTAATAAGAACCTCAAGTGTCAGAGTCATATATGTGAACATTAATATTGAATATTAATGTGAAATTTTTTGTTGATAATACAACAAAACTTTATTAACATTTTGGACAGGTTGAGCTATGACTGATAGTGGCAATTTCTGAACTTAAGTTGGGGCAAATGGCTATAGTGCAGCATAATGCCATCACTGTGTATTGTGAATACAGACATAAGAATGAATTGTTACCCTTCAAATGAAGGATCAGGTGCAGAGGATTGTTGTAGTCAAAGAGTACAGTCATCTTCCAGCTGCTTGCCTCTAGAGGTGAGCCCCTGCTAGTCAAGGGAATGCCTTTTTTATCCTGGATCTTGGCGTTTACATGATTGCCTTGTCAATTAGGGTCTTTACAAAGATCTGCATTTTGACCTGTTATCAAATGTCTCATCGATCCACCCATAAACATCCACACTGCCATTCAACAAAGCCACTCAGCTCTTGAAATGTTTTGATCAGTCAACATTGTTTCAATTCTGGAAAAAAATCAGTTTATAAGAATATAAGCAATGGGTTGGGGTTGTGGCTCAGTGGTGGAGTGCTTGCATAGCACATGTGAGGCAACGGCTTTGATCGTCAGCACCACATATAAATAAATAAAGGCATTGTGTCCATCTACAACTAAAAATATGTAAGAAAAAAAAAAGAATATAAGTAGTATGTGCTTTGGCAATACTTACAAATATAAGTAAAGGGAAACAAGAATATATTAAGGAAAGTATAATTTAAGACTGAATATTTTACAAAGTATTGTTGGTTTTTAATCTATTGTCATGTAAATTACTTTACTGTTATTTTGCCTGCAGACACCAACAACTGAAAAAGTGACTCTTTCAGAAAAGGACCTTGAATTAGCTCCAAAACCAAAGAAAGGTAATACTACTTTGTTGATTTCTTTAGAGAGAAGGTGTCAGGCCAATACATCCTTTGGTGATTCTTTGCTTTCTTTCTGTTACTTACATAGTTTGGTAGTCTACATTTGTGTTTAAAAAACATCAAAAAGAAAAGAAATGGCTGTGGGTTTGATTCCTAGAAAAATCTTGTGGGAAATAAACTTAGGACCTGTGCTATATGGACTATACTGCTTTAGGCTATGAACAATGTCTTGTTACTTGGTGAATCAGTTTGGGGAAGCTTTCCAGCTATAGATATTAGGAAACTCTGTTCAAATTCTAGGGGTTGAATTTATCTCCTGCAACAAGATATCCAGAGGGCCTAACTGATTCTGCCCTTTGCAACCTTAGTGTGGGGGTTGGTTCTCACAAACATGAGATCGTAAATGAATTCTCAAGGCTGAATTTTTGGGAAGAGTGTGGGTACTAAGGATTTTTGCTGAGTGAACATTGCCTTTCTTTGGGAAGGAATCTCTACCAGGGATAGGTTAATGAATTTAGGGATTTTTACAGAGTTATGTTGCTGCCAATAAAATTAGGGTTTGTGGTAATGGAGAAGAAGGAACATATATCAGATAGACTTCTGGCTTTGCTACTGTGGTCAGTAGTTACTGACTGTAGTCAGTCAGTTACTGGAGATGAAGAAGATGACCTTGTGACTTTAGTATATCTTACTATGTTCTGGCTATAATCATGGAAAAATAAGCTAAATGCTCTGACCCTCAATTTCTGCATCTGGAAAATGGGCATAATATTGAGCCTCATTGATTATTGTGAGTAGTAAGTGAGTTAAAAACAATAGATATAATGAATACTTAGCTCAGAGGCTCATACTTAGCAGATAATTAATGGCAGCAATAGCTGATATGTCTGATGGCAGAGTTATGTGAGAGTCTGCCTAAAGTTCCTGGGAATGGAATAACTTTCTGTGATGAAGACACTAAACATTCTAAGCCGTAATATTTTACTAACACTTAAGAGGGATCTTTTTTTATGTATATGAAGAAGAAGGCCTGGCATGAAGGAGTAAGACTTCAATCCTAATTGTTCTGGAGGCTAAGCCAGGAGGATTGCATGTTTGAGGCCAACCTGGTTGATTTAGTGAGACCCTATTTAAAATAAAATCAAAATAAGGGTTGGGGATGTAGTTCAGTGGTAGAGTGCTCCCCTAACATGGATAAGGCTCTGGGTTTCATCTCCAGTAATACACAAAGGAAAAAGAAAGAAAATATACCAAAACGTTTCTTCAGAATTCATAAAACACTGTTTCATAGAATAACTGGCATAGAGCCAGGGTTGTAACTCAGTGGCAGAGCGCTTGCCTAGCATGCGTGAGGCACTGGTAGGAGGTAAGGACTTCAACAGATGAATTTTTGGAAGACATAATTCAGCATAGACCATCAAGTGCCAGCACATAGTGGTTACTCAGAAATGTTTGTAAATGTATTTCTTTTCGTTCAGTACATTTTTACAGAATCCTTCCAAAACAGCAAACCATGAGGAAGGAACCCCTCTGATAGAGCAAACCATGAAGAAACAAAGAAAATGAGTACTTCTGCCTGTTTTCATAGTCGGCTTAATATCCTTCCTAGATTTCACGGAAATGGCCCTTAATCTCAAGGGTGTTCCTTTTCAGCAAGTAAAATGAATTACTGACTAATAAATTCCTTATAGTGGTTTTAACTCTGTAACTTATGTAGTTTAGTTTATAAGTCTAGAGTCCTGGTTACTGAGAATTTGAATGAGATGGCTATTAATTACACTATCTCTTTTAATAGAAAAGTACCAGACAATTACATATTTTCTAGGAGTCTCACACTAAGCTCATGATGAAAGAGACTACAGGTCTCCAGCTGCCTTGGGAGATCCGTGTAATGGTTAAGAATGTGGACTCAGAAGCTAGACTGCCCGAGTGTGAATCCAAGCTGCAACTACCAGATGAACAAAGGAAGCATTGCATTTGGGAAGCCCTTTTGAACAGTTTACAACCTAGTAATAATGAAAGTTGATAAATTTGTCTAAATAAAAAGGGGAAGGTCTGGGATTGTGGCTCAGTGGTAAAGCACTTGCCTTCATGCTTGAGGCACTGGATTCGATCCTCTGCACCACATTAAATAAATAAATAAATAAATAAATTGTGTTTATCTACAACTAAAAAAATATTTAAGAAAAAAAGGGGGGTTGCTGGGGTTGTCGCTGAGTGGTAGAGCACTCGCCTAGCATGTGGGAGGCCCTGAGTTCAATCCTCGGCACCACATGAAAATAAATAAATAAAATAAAGGTATTGTGTCCACCTACAACTAAAAAATAATTTGTTTTAATAAAAAAGGGAATTGGGAACTTTTGGCAAATATTGCAAATTATATACACAATGTAAAATCCAGAAAAACAAAAGGAGGGTTACTTGTACTTTATAGTAAAAAGACTGATCTTCATAGCAAAAAAACCTTTAGAAATTAATCTGGAGGGAGATAACTCTTATAAAAATAAAGATTATGAATGAGCTGCTTGCAGTAAAGCAAATATCCAAACTCATGAAAAGACGCTTAGCCTTATCTGTGCACAATGAAACGGCACTAGGAGACCATTTATTTGTGATTAGATACCAAGTCTCAGTAAGTATCTTTCCATTTGTTCTAGTCTTCTTTTATAAATTCTTTGGAAGTCTGAAAAATTTCCTTCATTTAGATTTTACATGCCTTTTAATTTTCTTTTACATATTTGATATTTATTAACTACTGTTTTGAACTTGGTTTCTATATAATATTTTGTACTTTGCTACCTTTATTGCATTTCCTTAATTTTGGTAGTAGTTTTTCAGTTGGTTTCTTTATTTTTGTAGTTGTTTGTTTTATAATATGCAGATTATGATCATTTTACTTTTTTGTTTAGTTTTTCAGATGCATAATGTGATTGGTATTGTCTTTTGCAGACAAGTACATAGTTTAGTTTTATTAGTTATTTATATTTAAATAGATATGCAGTCTTAGGCAATTCAGAATGTTTATTTTTCCTTTTATATTTTGAAGGATAGGCTACTTCAGTAATTCTAGATTTTTATGGCATAAAGTAAATGTTGATTATTTTGTTTTTGTCCTTTGTAAGTGCTGTTTTTCTTGACATGAGGTTTTCAGTGAGTCTTCCTATCCTGATCAATAGGAGTGGAAAATTTTTTTGTGTGTGTATGCCACCATTATGTCATAGCATACCTCTAGCATAATATTTAATTTCTATTTTCATGACTACTATTTTGAGATCACATTTTTTTTTAGGACAGGACTATGCTATTTCTTTTTTTCTTTCTCATGGTTTATTTACTTTATCACATGGGTTCTATACATATGCATTAAACGAAACCACTTAACATCTAAGCCTATGTTTCCTTTTCTGTAAAACATAAATTATAAATAAATGTCTTGGGGGCTGTTTTCAATATTCCTATAGAATATTGAAATGACTTTGAAATTGAACTTTGAAATTTTCACAAATTCCATAAAATGTGGGATAAGATAGAATAATAGTTTTAGCATTATAGCTACAGTTATGAATATAATGAATGGTTTTTATTAGTTTCATATTTCTTTTCTGATCAATATCAGAAAAGTTTGCTGTTGACTTGTGATTCTGTAAAGATATAGTAGCCCCACTCCTTCTAGGTGTTCCATCTATCACAATGACTAAAATAAAAAGGGGTAAAAACACCAGCTGCTAATGAAGCCTCATGTGGAGAGTTAGTCCACTAATTGCTAGTGGACTATAAAATTTTACAGGTGCTCTGGAAAACACTGGCAGTTGCTTACAAGAGTAAACATGCAAGTATTATACAACCCAGGAATTGTACTCTTAGGTATTTATCTCAGAAGATGAAAATTACATTCGTATAAAATCTTATGTACAGATGTTTATAAGCTACTTTATTCATCATAGCCCTAAATTGGAAATAATACATATATCCTCAGTGGGTAAATGATTAAACAAACTATGGTATATTCATACCGTGGAATCTTGTTTAGTAATAAAAAGAAAGTAACTATTTGTACACAGAATTATTTTGATGAATGTCTTGAGTATTATGCTGAGTGGGGGGAAAAACAGCCCTAAAAGGACTGATTTCATTTGTATAACATTATTAAATGATAATAAACATTAGAAATGCAAAACTGATTAGTGGTTGCCAGAGGTCAGGATTAATGTGTGAGAGAGGGAAGTGTTATGGCTATGGTAAATTAACACAGGGCATCTTAATTAATTTTGACTTGATCTGTGTCAATATCCGGGATGTGATATTATTCTACAGTTTTACAAGATATTGCCGTTGGAAGATATAAAGGGTCTCTATACTCTTTCTTTAAACTATGAATCTACTATCTCAAAATAAAAAATTTAATTACATGCAAAAGTTTTTAAGCACTCTAATGCTACCAGGGTTCTTGCATGGCATGGGAAGCACACATTTTTATTTTTCATATATATTGGTTTTGTGGTTTGGGCCTTGTTTTGTGCTTTTTCACTTGTAGTTTCATAAACTATTCTATGCTGTTACTTCAACTCTTATTTTTCCAGTTTTCTTTTGTGCTCCTTTTATAATTTGTCTTTATAACTTACCTCAAAAGTTTTACTTCTTTTTCTTGTAACTTGGATTTAATGCAAAGTCTTTTTGAAGTTGTACATGGAGCTTTAGGCAGCAAGATTTGATATAAGTCATTGTTTTTATTTTCATCAGAGTTTTGTATGTTGAGACTTTGGCAAAGTAGTGTGCACAAAATATTATTCTAATAAATAACCATATGATTATATTTATGTATTTTCTTTTTCTTTAACAGAAACTACCACATCTAAGAATACCAATGAGCTTACAGATATAACATGGAGTTCCAGTGGAAGTGATCTGTCAGATGAAGACAAAACTCTTCCTAAATCACAGAGAGATAATGAACATGGCTCTATAATAGATAAGTTCCATAACAGGAATATTTTATGTCCAGAAGATGGGGCCAGTGAAGGTAAATTGCTAATTTTGTAAGAAATTCAGTTTCTATTAAATACTGGGTTCAATATTGGAAGAAACATTCTTTTTTATATTTATTATTAATTATGATTTTACCAAGACCTAGCCTCTTTGATAACATCTTTAAAAACATTTCTCTTTTAATATTTCTTATAAGTCTAAGAGATAGATATTACTGGTATTATTTTGACAGTTCATAAGTTAGGCTTAGACTTATCAGAATTGGTTGGGATTTAATTTCAGTCTCTTTGATGCTAAAACCAGTTCTCTCAACTCCCACATAATACTACACCCATGCTACCTTCTTGCTCACTTATTAACATTGAATAAATACTGTGACAACCAATGTGTGGTAGAAGTATAACATCAAATTTCTGTTCTGATGGCCTTTTATATTGCATCATGTTTTAGTTTGTTTAAAAACAAGGTTTCTCAACCTTGATACCATTGCCATTTGGAGCCAGGTAATTCTATTATAAGGAGAAATTTCCTATGCATATTATGTAGGGTGTTTTGAAACATCCCTGGCCTCTACCCACTAGATCACAGTAGTACCCTCCACCCCCAGTTTTTGACAACTAAATATGTTGGTCCTCTGTAGTATAATATCACCTCTAATTGATAACCATATTTGTGCTATTATGGAAATTATGTCCTTGTGCAAATTTAAAAATCTGGAGTATTTAAAAATCTTAATGCTTTCAAAATAACTTGTGACTTTTAACTCTGATAGTTCATGTTAGATACTCAGTCAAGGTTAGGTTTGGATGAACAGCCTCTTTGGCAGGTGATTAAACATTTTGTATGGTGGTTTGAACATTTTGTATGCCATTTTGGTGACTATCCTTGATATTTTAGTAGTTCTCAGGTGAAGTGATATTTCAAGTTTATACATAAGCTGATAGTGCTTATATTATTAATTCAAGCATATTAATTGAAATTATGTTGCTTTTATTCACATACTTTAGAACATAATTTCAATATTGACAAATGTATGCTTTTCTTGGATAAATAGTAATGGTATATGAATTATATCTCAAAACTGGCATAAAAAATAAAAAATTATGTTGTCTTCTTGTATTAAAAGAAGTATTTTGTAGTTTCCAAAACTCTATTCATAAAATGGAGAGGTTCCTTGGGCTAATTACTTCAAAATGAGTTAATATATTGTTGACTTTTCATATAAAGTTGAATTGTAGATAACAAGTAAATTATCCTTGGAGTGTATGCAGTCATGTTTGCAGCTGCTGGACATTTCTGTCTTTCCCCTCTGCTTCTCTTTTCTCATATTCCCCAATCTGTCTTTCTTTTTTTACCTTTAGTGAATGACAGCTATTCCATTTGTCAAGATATTATGTTGTCCCAGACACTTGAGTGGGCATTATATATGTTATTTTCTTTCCTATATACTATATCCTACAAGCTAAGAAGTACCCTCATTTTATAGAAGAAATTTGGAACTTTGAAAAGTCAAGTCACTGCCCCAGTCCCACAATAAGTGTGCCAGTTGATATTCAGACCCAGAGATGTCTGACTTCTTTGCTGTGTGATGGCTTCGTAACCTTTAGTATTCCTAGACCTTTTTTTAGCCATATAGTCAAGAGACTTTAGTCTGTACAGGCCAGAATTGGGGTTAAAAGGAAAAACAAAAGTTTAAATTTAAAAAATGTTTTTCTCTTAAAAAATTCCCCTTCTTCATTTGAATTGGACATGACTATAATATAATATAATATAATATAATATAATTATATTATATAATGATTATAATGGATTTTCACTGTGCTTCTGGAATAACAGTATCATGTAAAAGATTTTGTTTTGTTTATTCCATATTTTAACTTTAGCTTAAATTTTCTGTCTTTTTTAAATTTTTAGGTCCATTCAGGTATTAAAGATAGTATGTTTTTTTCTTTTTAATATTACTTCACTTTACTGGAAGTGTAATTATTACTATCAGTCCTACAAAATAGGATCATGATATTTTATTACCCTTCTGAGTTGCTGAAGTAACTATTAAGGAGTATCATTCTTTGTATTGTAGGAAAAGTTTATGTATTATCCCTCAAAAATAATTCATCTTTAATAACTGCTTTCATTTATTTAAGCATAGCAGATTAGAATCAGTATATTTGGTTGTTTAATATATGAAAATAATTTAGCTTTCAGATTTAAAATTTTACAAAAGTAGCATCTAGTTAATGCTTATGAAGTAAACTAAATGCTGAATTTATTTGTTTCCTTATTGATGAAAGAAATCTACAGAAAAAGTTATTGGGTGGAAACATTTGAAAAATCATTTCTAGTAGATGATTTAAATAAGCTATTGTTCAGTTATGCAGTGGAATACTAAATTGTAGAAAAGAATGGGGATATTCATTCCTTAGTGGTAAAAGAAAAACTCTTCATTATGTTAAGTGAGAACAATTAAGATATGTGAGAAACCTGAAAAAAATAACATATATATCATATTTTCTTGAACATGCTGGAGAAATTATAAGTATTGAAAAACAATAAAAAGCTGGGCTTGGTGGTACACGTATGTAATCCCAACAACTTGTAAGTCTGAGGGACAGTCACTGGAGAAAAGAGTAGAAATCTACTTTTTACTATCAATATATTTTTTTAAAAAAATCACCCAATAACATGGATATATTAGGTACTGAAAATGTGAAATAGATTAAAAAAATGTTTTTAAATTGTATCTTTTAGATGAATTACAGTTTATTGACTGGGAGATCGACAGTGACAAGGAAGATGCTAGTGAATATAATGAATGGGAAGATGGTAAGGGTGCTGTAGAAATCTCAGATTGTGCCTCTTGTGCAAGTAGTCATTCTTTGACAAGTGATGAGAGACTATCTGAGCTTCCTAAGGTAAGAAGAAAGTATTTCAAAAAGTTTTATTTTGTTTACAACATTTGCTCATTAGAGCCTTTAGGTGTCTTCTCAGAGTCTTTTGAATCTACTGGATTTTTTTGTCTTAACCACTTTATATCCAAATAATACTTATATTATACTTCTCAACATGGATAAATACTGAGCTGTCTTGTCAACCCTCATCTCACTTCCATCTGAAATACACTGAAAGTTTTCTGTATTTCCATTATCCCACTTGGTACAAATATATCAAGGTGGGGTTAGATACTACTCTATTCAGTATTTACACAATTGTGAATCAATAATATTGATACATGATATTAAAAATGTGAATATTATTTTTCTTTCACAACTTTTTGTTTTCCTTGGACTTGGCAATTATTTATTTATTTTTGTTTTTCTATTTTTAATTACCATTAAATATTTTATTTATTTTTTTTCAATTTTTTAATTAATTTTTAAAATTTATATATGACAGTGGAATGTATTACAATTCTTATTACACATATAGAGCACAATTTTTCATATCTCTGGTTGTATACAAAGTATGTTTACACCAATTTGTGTCTTTATACATGTACTTTGGATAATAATGTCCATCACGTTCGACCATCATTTCTAACCCCATGTCCCCTCCTTTCTCGTTCCACCCCTTTGCCCTATCTAGAGTTTGTCTTTTCCTCCCATGTTCCCTCTCCCTACCCCACTATGAATCAGCCTCCTTATATCAGAGAAAACATTCAGCATTTGTTTTTTTGGGATTGGCTAACTTCACTTAGCATTATCTTCTCTAGCTCCATCCATTTACCTGCAAATGCCATGATTTTATTCTCCTTTATTGCTGAGTAATATTCCATTGTGTATATATGCCACATTTTTTTAATCCACTCATCTATTGAAGGGCATCTAGGTTGGTTCCACAGTTTAGGTATTGTGAATTGTGCTGCTACAAACATTGATATAGCTGTGTCCCTGTAGTACACTGTTTTTAAGTTCTTTGGGTATAGACTGAGGAGTGGGATAGCTGGGTCAAAGAGTGGTTCCATTCCCAATTTTCCAAGAAATCTCCATACTGCTTTCCATATTTGCTGCACCAATTTGCAGTCCCACCAGCAATGTATAAGTGTACCTTTTTCCCCACATCCTTGTCAACACTTATTGTTATTTCTGTTCTTGACAGCTGCTATTCTGACTGGAGTGAGAGTTTGATTTGCTTTTCTCTAATTGCTAGCGATGATGAACATTTTTTCATGAATTTGTTGATTTGTATATCCTCTTAGAAGTGTTTCTTCAGGTCGTTGGCCCATTTATTGATTGGGGTTATTTGTTTTTTTGGTGTTTAGCTTTTTGAGTTCTTTATATACCCTAGAGATTAGTGCTGTATCTGATGTGAGGGGTAAAGATTTGCTCCCAAGATGTAGGTTTTTTATTCACCTCACAGATTGTTTCTTTGGCTGAGAAGAAACTTTTTAGTTTGAGACCATCCATTTACTGCTTTGTTGTAAATCATTTCAGAAATAACAGGCATTCTGTCAATTCCATTTTCTTGGAGAACGCCCACCCACAACCTTCTATGTGCTCCAATTTGAACTTAGGGTCCTCTTGGTTTCGTGGACATTGTCACTCTGATGTCTCCTTTTACCACTATTCAAGAAATTTATTTACTTCTCTCCTGTGTAGAGCTCCATTTTTATCCTATATTTTATGTTTCCTCTTTTTTTGTTTTCATCCTTGCCTTGGTTGAACACATCTTCCAGTGGCTTCAGAAATAATTTATAGAAGATAATATTTTTGAGAATGCATGTCTGAAGATGTTTTTATCATACATTGGTATGTGACTGAAAACTTGTACAGAATTTCTGATTGAGAATAATTTTTCTTTGAAGTTTTGAAAACATTACTTCCTTGTCTCTAGGGCAGGTTACTTGTGCTTTATTTTGTGCCTTTGGTGGGGTTTCCTTAATTGTTCTTATCTTTGTATTCATGCCTTCTTATCTGTTCTGGAATTAATTATTTGTAAGCAGGCTAAAAAGCATGCCATGATCTAAAATTTTCTGTTGATCTTTCAATTATTATTTTTCTCTCAAAACTTTTTGTTTTCTTTGGACTTGGTAATTATTTATTTATTTTTGTTTATCTACTTTTTTGGGGGGGAGAGAAGAGAGAGAGAATTTTTTAATATTTATTTTTCAGTTTTCGGTGGACACAACATCTTTATTTTATTTTACGTGGTGCTGAGGATTGAACCCAGCACGCCACGCATGCCAGGCGAGTGCGTTACGCTTGAGCCATATCTCCAGCCCTGTTTATCTACTTTTAATTACCATTAAATAACTCTGTGAGGTGGGAGCTGTTTTTATCTTCCCTATTTTCCAGATGAGAATTCTGATGGGGATAATTAAATAATTTTCATTGTGTTTTAAACTACTAATACTAACTAATACAGGATTCTAATTCAGGCATTCTAGCTTCTGAGCTGTGGTTCTAACCATTTTGCTGTAGTGTCAAGTAATACTAATAGCAATAATAAGATTACTAACCATACCCTGAGTTCTTACTGTGTTAACCACTTTTCTAAGTGTCGAATATATGAGGTAAATAATACTATTAAGCCCTTTTGAAAGATGAGGGAACGGAGGCACAGCTAGTAAATGGCAGAGTGTGATTTTAATTTATGTAGTCTGATGCCAAATTCTTTTTAACGATTTGTGTTATATTCCTTGGAATGTAACATGCTGAATTACTTGAAGGAAAGCATGAAAGGAACCAAAGTCCATGGCAGTAACTTCTCTGTACTACTGTCTTTTAGCACACTTAACAAATGTAGTTGATTATGGACGTGACTTTCTTTTTTTTTTTATTGGTTGTTCAAAACATTACAAAGCTCATGACCTATCATCTTTCATACATTTGATTCAAGTGGGTTATGAACTCCCATTTTTACCCCACATACAAATTGCAGAATCGACTTTCCATGTTGGTTGACAATGCTGCTGCCTGGATTTTCAGTTTGCTTTATCATTGTCATCTAAGAATCATTCCTGTAGAGGGCAGCAGAGATATACCACACAGTTGTGGTAAACCTACATTTTTTTTTTTTTTTTTTTTAGGAACTATGCAGGAAATCAGATTTAGGTAAACTTTGTTATGTAATTTCCATGCACTTTACGTAGTGATCCCTATGAAAATACAGGCTAAACGACATAATACATATCAGATAACTAGAATGAGGTTCAAGCTTTTTGGTAAGAAGGTAAACAGAAGCTGACTGGCACAGTAAAAGACCTAGAAGTAGTGGTTCATGCAGTTTCAAACAGAAAGCAAATGTGGTTTGTAAGTTTGAAGTTTGGCTTCATTGTTATGAAACAGATGATTTCTTTTTGCTCTTTACCAGTAGGGGAAGAAAAAATTATTTGATAACTCATAGAAGAAGGAATTGTGGAAAAGTTTTAACAAAACAGGAAAGTCATCTGACAAAAATTTTTAAGTATTTCTAAATCTGAGTATTTATAATTGTTTTCTAGTATTTTTAATTAAACAATACACCTAACATAAACCTTATATCTGACTATTTTTAAAGTTATGGTATGAAATATTTGTGTAATGCTGTGGAACCATTATCTTCCATCTCCAGAACTCTTTTCATCTAATAAAACTGAACCTCTGGGGCCAGAGCGCTTGCCCAATATCATCTGTGAGGCCCTGGATTGGATCCTTAGCACCACATAAAAAATAAATACACAAAATGAAGGTATTGTATTCCAAGTACAACTAAAAATATTAAAACAAAACAAAACAAAAAAACCCTGAAACTCTGTATCCATTAACCAATAACTCCTGATTTTCCCCTGACCCCCAACTCCTGGAAACCACCATTCTACTTTCTGTCATTCTGAATATGACTCCTTTAATTACCTCATGTGAGTGGAATCATATGTTATCTTTTTTGTGATTGGCTTATTTCACTTAGTATAATGTCCTTATGGTTAATCTGTGTCGTGAGAATGTCCTTCCTTTCTAAGGCTGAATATTATTCTATTGTATGTTTATGACACATTTTGACTTAATTTGTGGCTTAACAATTAGTCTAACCTGGAACTTGTCCTATGTACACTTGAGAATAATGTGTATGCTGTTGTTGGATACAGTGTTGTAATGTTGTATAAATGTGTTAGATCTAGTCAGTTTATTGTGTTAAGTCCTCTATTTCCTTACTCTGTCTGGTTGTTCTGTTACTGAGGAGGGTATTGATTCCATCAACTATAATTATAAACCATTTCTCCTTTTAATTCTGTCAGTTTGGGCTTTATATATTTTAAAGTCTCTTATTAGGTACATAAATATTTGTAATTTTTATATCTTTCGTATTGAACCTCTTTTTAATATATATGTACTTCCTTATCTCTCATAAACTTTTTTGATTCAAGTCTTTTTTTTCTGGTATTAGTATGGCCCTCTCTTCTCTCTTATAGTTACTATTTGTATGGAGTGTCTTTACTATTTGATTTCAATCTTTTTTTTTTTGATTCTTTATGCACAACTGTGCATATAATTTATTTTTTATTTTTTAGTTGTAATTGAACACAATATCTCTTTTTATTTATAAATAAATAAAATATTAGATATATAGATAAACAAATAATATTTATTATTTATTTAATGGTGCTTTCAATCTTTTAATATCTTGAATCTAAAGTGATTCTAGCATAAACAATATGTAGTTGGATTTTTTTTTTTAAATAAAAGCTACCTATCTCTGTCCTTTGATTGGGGAGCTTAATTCATTTAAAGTAATTATTGGTATAGAGGAAGTTCTATAATTTTGCTGTTTTTTTTAATATCCTGTTTTACTTATTTTGTCCCTCATTTTTCTGCATTAGTATCTTTTTTTGTGTTTAGTTAATTGTTAATTCTCCTCTTTTGTATATTCTGTAACTCTTTTCTTTGTGATGCCATGGGAATTATGTTTAAATAATGACATTTTAACTTTTTGATTG